GTTAAATTAATTAGTTTTAAATAATTTATTTTTGGTTTGAGATTAAAAATACTGTGACATTCATTATCATATATTATTTTTGAAAATTTCATTTACTTCAACATCCAAAGACAAAAACTAAAGAAGAGGCATCAACGTAGAACGGATAGAAGCAATGGGTTTTGAATTTCCCTCTTTAATTTCTCTCTCTCTCTCTCTCTATCCCTGTGTCTGGGAATGTACTAAGCATATCTAAATCTGAGTTATTTTTAATTCAATTTAATTTTGCACTCCAACCAGGAATATCAATCAAATTGTCTAAAACGTGGGTTTCCCTTTATACCATTGTTTCTGCAATGGTCAAATATTTTTGTCACCCGTTAATTTTTGTTTGGTGTTACATTTTTGCACGACTTTTATGCAACACCACCAAGAATAACAATTGATCAAAGACACACGACTTTTGTTTTATTCTAAAAAAAAAAAAAAAAAAACTATATCAACTAAAATTTATAACTTAATGTTTCAAAATTTGATCATTGAAACAGTAGACTATTTTTTGTTTTTATTCGAAACAGTTGTAGATAATATTCTATTGGGGGTTATATCACTATTAAAATTTCACTCTCTTTGATTTCACTCTCTTTGATTTCACTCTCTTTGATTCGTATTACTTACGGTGTTAGAATCCTCACATTGGTAGAATATTTCATCTCTACCCCTTTAGGAATGCTGTAAAATTGTCGGTTGTTTGTTTACATGTTGGTTTACTGGGGGAGGGAGAAGAGGGTTGTTTGTTGTGTTGTTGATTTATTTTTAGTTACATGTATCATCTAAAACAGTACAGCCCAAAGTCGACAATTCATAATTCAAGCGCATCACTTTTTCAACATTCACAGATTCAATTCTTTTGTTGTCACACGAGTGTAATACGAAATTGTGAATTGGAAAGAGGAAGGTTATTGTATAACAAGATTTTTTTTTTTTTAGGTATAACATGGTTTTTGTGCTTAAACAATAATGATTCCCAAAATTATGGTGGATTTTCATAGCTCATCAATAACTGCATTCATACGATCAGCTAGTCTACATTAAAACATGATGTGCACATATTCATTAGAAAACCCCTTATATAATTCAATTCGATTTTTATTTTTTACTTTTAAACAATTGAATAGAATATCATTAGACATAAAATCATTATAACTTTTGTTGTTTGAATACTTCTATTGTTAAAATTTGCTCTTCCACTAAATAATGTCCCACTTCTAGTTGATCCACAACCTTCAGCATTACTAGTAACCACATTTCCATTTGAATTAGATCCACTTTTCCCATCATTACTATTATTTAACTGATCTTCAAGTTCTTGTTTTTTACTTTCAAGTATTACTGAATCAGCAAATGGTGTTTGTATACCACAAAGTATAGCTCTTCCAATATTAAGAGTCCAAAGAGTATTATTCTCAAATATTTCTTCAATTTTAAAACATGGATTTGTTATAGTTGTCATATTCCCTCCTGATTCAGTAAATATACTAAATGATATTTCATCACTACTTGGTGTTTCAATATTACTAACTGTGGGGTATTCATTATAATCTTCAGTTTTAGTTTCTCCGTTTGAATATATATGACTTGATTCTATATCACCATTATTATTACTTGTTGTTGTGTTATAATATTGTTTTTTTAGGAGGTGTTTCCCACATCTATACCCACTTGAAATTTGATCAATCCAAGTATCTTCTTTAGTTAATGTTAAATTATATGAATCACAGAAATATACTAACTTATCAGCATCGGGATTATGTATATTGGGATCTAGTATTGTTGGAATTAATTTAGTTATATTATATGATATTGGCATAGTATTAGTAATTATAAACATGGTTAATTATGATTGAATAATTTTTTTTGAATTATTACAAATATAAAGAAGAATTGAATTGTTATTTATATTCTATGAATTAAATAAAGATAATTTTTATTATCATAAAGTTTTACATTTATTTTTTATAAATTAAACAGTAACTTTCATATTCTTTCAAAGAATAATAATTTCAAGTTATGAATAATTCTTAAAATGAAATAAAAATAAATATACTAAGTTTTCTTCAAATCGGTCAAATCATTTTCAATATCATAATAAATTAAGGTTTTCATTGTAAAAAAAAACCAGATTAAGACAAAAATACATCATTATCATTGTATAACTCCGATAAATCTTGGATCATTAATCAGAAATTTTTCTTTATTTATATGTCTATTAGGACTACACGTTTCATAAAGATACATCAAATCACTAGACAAATTGTCGTAATATCCAACTTTTTGATATCGCACCAAGAATGATATCAATAAAGTAGTTATTATTAAGTAAGTGTCATTAAACGGACATACTAAACCCAGTAGACTTAATTCAAACAAACAAACAAGCAAAGCTCATAACAACGGGGCTTTATAACTTTATTCCAATTTCAAGAATTTTTTCTTTTTTCTTCTTCCTTCAATTCGTTTTTAATTTTAATAATAACAATGTTACATTTTGTTGTTGTTGTTGTTGTTGTTGACTTTAAAAATGTAGTCTATTATTCAATAACAAAGGACAATACAAGCTAGTCATCGCCTTCTTAGTTTCTTGACAAGGTTTAATAATCAAACCTTTTTGCTTACTTATGATGATATTATCTTTAAAGAATTTGAGAAATGTATCATTTAAATGACGTCATTCTTGTATTGATTCGTCTCTATATATATTCATATATGATAAAATAAATCCATTTAAAAATAGTTAATCAATTATAAATTATAATTCTTATCAAGTGGAGGGGGTTAGAGGGTTTAAATCAATGATTCCATTGGTATGGTATGGAATATACGAGAATTGACTAACAAAAATAAAAACCATCATGCATTTGTTATTAATCATAAAGATAAGTTGAATTGGTTATGTTTCAAATTTGAATATTACCAAGAAGGACGGGAAGTAAAGAAGAAAGGTTAAAAAAAAAGGAATATGAATGATAATAAAATGAACTTTTTCCTTTTTTTTTTTGTTTCTAAATTTGCTTATTGAATATTTTAATCTTTTTGAAAATATAGTTCTTCCTGTTTTATGTGATGTATAACATCAAAAAGAAATATTCTATTATTGTTGGTTAACTTATTTATCATGTCATTATTGTTGTTTAAGTTTTCTTGACTAAAACCGTCATCGATTGTGGGGTCAAGGGATTAATAATGAATGTGATTGTGGATAATTAATATTCAATAATAGTAGAAAATAACATTGATTATAAATCCATAACCTTATTTGTGTTCCACTCTCCTCCCTCCCCGCTAGACTTACTTTATTTGTCAGGTTACGACAGAATTTATAAAATAGGTGAAATTTATTATCAATTTCTAGTTATTTTTACACGATTATTCAAATTAAAGAAATTCTTTCTTCAAATAGTGTTAATTGAAAGATAAATGTTCTACGTCGGAATAAAAGATTCCTTTATTTTTCAAAATTAAACGAATAATTCAAAACATTCTATTTCAATTGTATCACGAGGCTTATATTCAAAATGTGGTATTTTATAATCAATATATAATCTTCATCAATTTAAGAAAATGAAGTCATCTACAATACAGATAACGAAAATAAAGTGATTGCAATATTCGCTAAAAGTGACTAAACGATGAGTTGTAGTCTGTTTCTATTAGATATCCACAGTTTCATTAACTCTCTATTAAAATTGTTATACCAAAAAAAATGGACACATATATACATGTTATCAAGAAAAGTAAACTCGGAATTGTCGTGATTTGTAATTAATGTCTTGACATATCGTAGGGGTTCTGTTCAAGTTTAATTAGAATTATTTATGTGCTAAAGTATTCAATTTGTGTAAAAACAAACATCAATTGTCAAAATTTCAAGGCAAGTTCCTTGTAAATTTATCTCTCGACGTAAACTGGTCGATAATTTTTTAAAATTAGTCGACAATTTCCGCGAAAAAAAGCAAAGTTCAAAAAATAAGTAAATGGAAACACTACTAATGATCGAATTGTACAAGTTTAATAATATTAATACTGTTGGAAATACTTCAAACATTACCTGATAAATATACTTACATTTTATTATCACCATAATACATATCGGTATTAATAAATAACTGGTATTACTCTGGTACAATTGAAAACATACCATTAATTGCATTTTGTATGGCGAAAAGAGATTTACGTCAAATTTTGGGATGTTTTCGTGCGTGAACCGATTTAAAAACCACGGGAATAAATGGATTGAGATCCTGATGAACCCCTTGGGAAATACAAGATACCCTAAAATTTAGAAAAACAAAATGAGAATAGTATAGACATGAAGCTAATTGCTTGAATATTCCAATGAATACAGTTTAAATGATCTGGATAGCGTAATTATTGAGTTATTTAGGAAAACCATAATTCCCGATAAAATAAAGATTGTTTGATGTTGCCCAAGTAAGTTTTGACCACTAACTCCACCAATTTTTAACAAGGTTCATTCAGGATTGAGTGTGGTAGTATTAAACAGTGATATAAATAACATCATGTTGTTTAAGCGATAAGAATCAAGCTAGAACCGATCGATCTAGCAAAACACGTGCAACTTTATGAAATTACTTTAGTTTATAGAATAAGGAGAATAATTTCCTGTCGTCGCATTTTTGGAAATTCTCTAAAAATTACTGAGGTTTCTTTTTTTCCACGTTTTGGCAACTTTTGGGCAACCTTATAATGTTGCCATTTTTCAGTAACCTAATGAAGTTTTCAACAATCTTAAAGGAATACCGCGATTTCTCAATTTTGGTTATTTCTAAAAGTTTTTCGCAACTTTATTAATTCACCTTTTTTTCCAAAATTTCGCAACGACTTCAATTGACTGCTACTAGCAATGATATTATTTTTGTTATTTGAAAGCACTAGAAAAGTGGCAAAAACAACAATATCGATAAATAATATATTGGAATAATATGAAAACTCGGATAGGCTATCATTACATATGAAATAGTGATAAATATACAACAGCGGTAATTATTGAAACTATGCTGTATCGGTATAAAAATCCACTCTATACTTCATTCTCCAAAGCGGTGAACTGGAAGTAGATTTGATAGAAGATTGTAGTGTACAACTTAAATGAGCTCGATGGTATAAGATCAGCCTGCATTAAAAATATTTGCCGAATAAAATTGGCTATTAGTTATGCTGAAAATCTTTTCAAATACCTATTCTCGACGCACAAACTCTGCAAACTCTTGAATTTAGGTCCATGGTTCTCACGAAAAAATCTAAAGAGGAAAAAAAGAAGAATTCTGATATCAGAAAGAATGAAATATATAATACATAAATCGGGTTCTGTTCCATTACTACCACTATTAGTACTTACCAGGACAATCTGTTATGTTATTCTTTTATCATGTCATCAAGTTAAATGCATAAAACCCACAATGGATCATGTATCCAACCAGTACAACTGAAAATATACCATCAGTTGAATTTTGTATGGGGAAAAGAGATTCACGTCTTTTTTGGAGATTTTTTCGTGCGTGAACCATTTTGAGAATTACGGAAATAAACCATTTGAGATCATGATGAACCCCTTTGGAAATACTAGATGGTCTAAAAACTGTAAAAATAAAATGAAAATAGTATAGACATGATTATATCTACATTAATATTGCAATGAATACAATTTGAGCGGTCAGGATAGCGTAATTACTGACTTATTCGTCAAAATGATAATTTCCGATAAAAAAAAGATACTTTGAAATTCCAAGAGTAAGATTTACATCTAACTCCTCCAATATTTATCTAATTGATTCAGAATTAACTTATATAGTATAGTTTATCACAGCAAATCATATGCAGTTTTCAAAATTGCAAAAATCCCGCTAGAAGGGACAAATGTTGCAAATCGTGGAACATTTGTATGTCGCACTGTGACGGACATAGAAAACAGAGATGTAAATGCTACTTTTTTCTGGAACATTTCAAATAATCCTCAAATTTGGAACATTGAAATCTATGGATATATGGAACAGACATTTATGTCTATGGATGTATGGACGGAATATTCGAATATACGGATATATGGAGGGAAAAATTTGTACATACAGATGCGCACCAATTCAGGAATATACAAATCAATGGTTTAATGTATGGAACATTGTGATGCACAGATATAGGGCGCAATCACTGGAACATATAAATGTGTAACAAAAAGTGGCATTCAAAAATATGGTTTCAAGGAGGGAATATTTGAATATACATATATATGGTTTCACTTTTCCGAATGTAGATTTGGAAGCTACCGCCATCAAATTCATGAATATAATCTACTGTTATGTGTCTTTCCGTATTTAGAATTGTATCAAATTGATTTCCTTGATTGATTCCCATTATATTCAAATAGATTATAAAATACATGTCAAAAGGAAATGATCAAGAGTGTCTAAAGTGATTCATTTTTTCTGTATCATTACAAGAATATGAACTATTCTCGCAACATAACAAATTTACTAGCCCGATTCACTCAATAGAAGAGTTTACTCTAATCACAATTCAAAGTGGGATATGTTGGTATTTTTGATTAATTATTATATAAAATTCATATTCATAGTGGATATCATCATTATTCACTTCTATTTAATCTAACTTATCAAAACTATAACAGTTGTTACATTTTGTATGGTAAAATGAGGTTCAAGTCAATTCTCGTGTCTGAATCAAAATGAAAATTACGGAAATAATCCACTTGAGATCATAGTGAATCCATTTAGAAACACTATATACACCAATATTGTGAATGATCAATATTTAAGTATCTTAATATAATGTTGAACATATGATTACTATGATAATATAATTTTTAGCCGACTCGATAGCACATTTATTGATAAATTGACATGAATATTAATTCCGGATAAAAAATGTGTTTTGATTTCTCTAAAGTAATTTTTGGCTACAGTTGATGGTATATCATTAGGAAATGCATTGAAATTGGTTTAGAATGGCGTTAATTTTTCACATCTTTCAGGTGATGGTAGTTTCATGGATGTTCTCCTTTGAAAACACGTTGAATCCACAACAACATAAGAATTTTGCCAAATACTTTGATTTGACTAAATGGCTACTTTCAAACAATAGTAATGGCTTGTTTTTTTACCATGAATATTTTTGTTTTGAACAATACACATATATAAGTAGTTTATGTTAATAATTTTGGATGGTTAGTAACAAACCTTCATTTGGGTATACTTGTCTATATATAGTATATAAGTCCAAAGGTATGATGCTACTATTCCAATCAAACAAAATGGTGTGGTTCTCCACACGGGCCATAGATAAGGCGTATTCGTGTATTAATAATATGTAATTGAAGCCAAATATACTAAAATCTATATGGTTGTGTAGGTATTCAACATTTAAAAATATCCATGTTCATTTAAAATGAATTGTGTATGGCCAGAATATCAAATAATTATCTGGAGTTAGATGAACTAATGTCCAAGATAAATGAATTCCAAGTAATATAGTTCTGAAATGTTGATATATTGACTATTTGGGACTATATAACCTTGAATGTAACTCTGAAATAGTATGTAAGTATAAGAATAAATCAAAAATCTAACCGATGAAGTTAACTTAAATATTCAAAGATAGATAACACCAACTGTAATCACACTGACTAACCTACATGTTTATACTAGCGTCTTATGGATGAGATTTACCATTGACAATCAAATCATTCATGTCATTTTGTAAGATGAAAACATATGGATATTCTCGTGAATAAACCAGGGTACATCTTAGAGAAACCAACCAATCAAGATCCTAAACAACCTTTTTAGAATACTGTATCTATGAACCTTTTTGACCTAGAAGAGTTTTTACACAAGTTTTACATCATACCGTTTTTTATTTCCAAAAATTGAAGGTATTGTACTGCCAAGCAATTGTAACATAAATATACGTTCATCATTTTTAGTTTGCTATTCAATCAACAATATATACACAAATTTTGCTCCTTCAAATCTACTGTATACCATTTCAAGGACTTTAGCTAGCGAATTTGAAGTAACTTAACAATCACCATTTAAATGAAATGTTGCGCAGAGATGTTGTCCATTTATTTTTTTTTTAAGCCAGACATACGGCTAATTAATTCATTATTGGCCCCGCGTTAAAACACAAAGTGAGGTTCCTCGAGAACAGACCAAGCCGCAACAAAGCATCCTATCCATAAAGACAGAAAGATCCAATTTACATTCTATGAACTATAATAAAATATACATTGTGTAGTAAAGTTATACAAAACGAAATTTAAAACCCATAAACCATAAATAATCAAGTCTAATCAACAAGAGAAAACAGTCATAATTGTCTAATAGTTTTTGGTATGAGCAGGAGGAGGGCCATCTGGTCTGGAATATTGCTCATATGTTCCAGAATCCTGTTGTTGAGCATTGTATCCACCATATGAAGGTTGGGAAGTTTCTGGGTAAGGAGGTGGAACATAGCCCGGTGTCTGTTGAGGAGGCAAATCATTATTGCCATAATATCCCCCTTGGTATTGATTATTACCCTGGTTATAATATGTACCACTAGGTTGTTGTGGCGGTGGTTGTGGTTGTTCATATGCTGTATTATACACCACCTTACTTCTCTTTCTTCTTCTAAGGAAAAACATTATGATAATAAAAAGGAATGGGATAATTAACAACAACCATAATAACCAACGTCTTCTGTACCAATTGCTACGATTGTAATTGTTATAGGTAGTGTAATACCTCTTAACAAGTGATACTGAATCTTCAATGTTTGTGATAATCATAATTGGTTGAATATAAACAATAATAATAATAATACAAATAGGACTTGAAGAAGAAGAAGAACAAGAAGAATGTGGTTTGTTTATTAGGGGGATTTTTTTTTTCTTTTAATTGAAATTCTAGACAAGGGAAGAGAAACTCGAATTTGAATTGGAACTGCAATTTAGTACTAAATTGCTTTTTTTTTTTTTTTTAGTTTGAGATTTTTTTTTTTCTTGCTGAAATTCCACCTGTCTTTACTGCAATCAGTATGTGTGTGTTTCATCTCATAGCAATGCATAAATGGAAATTAGAGATGTCAATTTGATAGATAGAAATCATTAATAGCAACTATACAGCGGTGGGAAGAATGTGAAGGAGAGGGGGTGGCGTTGTGGTTAGCTTTGTCATGCATTTAATTTTACGAACTTGGCAATTTGGGACCAAGAACATGACCATGATCACGTGATATTGCTATCAAAACAAGTTTCAATTTTTCATCTGCAAAACAATGAATTTGCATCACATATTTCCATGGCTGCAACAACTATAATATGACCTCGGGATGTCTTTCTCATTTGTGTTAATTACTCTTTCTTTGGTGTTGATAGTATATGTTATTGTTCTTCACCTAAGACCTCATCGTCAAAGAGACTTTTGCGTAAAACAAAACAAGAATGTTACACGTCTATTCACCATTATGATGAGTAAAATACCATCGTAATTCCGTGAATCAGTTGACAAAAACAAAAACAAAAACAAAAAAGATCGTACCGTTTATTATCTTATTCTCTTGCTTCAACATAGAACACGTTCCATATAGTTGGATGTTCGATTTGGTTCTTCTTGAAAGTGTGTCTCTAGATATATATTTCTTGGTTGATTGAACACGCCAAAAATCGTGTCCTAGTGGATAATTTTGTATGCTAAATTTTTAAGGACAAGAGACAACATTTTTTTTTTGTTGGTTGGTTTGGTTGGTTGTATTTTTTTTAAGTTTTGTTATTAATTGGATCAACATTATATCATTGGCAACAGCATATCCTTTCCCTATCACCACATTAGTTGCGTTGTCTCATTCATAAACTAGCCTTTTAATTAGGTGGTCATCACTTATAGAGATTTTTCATACCAGCCATATACTCATACCCTAGTTGGGAGACGTTCTCCGCATACACGCAATAGAATTATACACTTGTCATGAACTCCGATCACCCATGGGAGGATTCCGAGTCAACACCAACACATTCACCACCAGAGCCAACATCACCAAAACAACATAAATTACAACCACCAGGTACAAAAACTGGTGCCTGTGAATTACGACCACTCAGATTAACTAAACAAAGAAATAGAGCTTCCATTATATCGATTTCGTCAACTAGTTCAGGTGGGCTAACTCCCACAGCATCTTCATTTACTTCTCCAAGTAGAAAGTCAAGTCTTGCCACAGAAGAATTCCATTGTCGACCAATACGATTAGGAAGAAATGCGAGTGCAACTGAAGAGAGGAGAAGCTCTGATGCATCTGTTTCCAAAACCCCTGAAAAACAACCAGAAGCAAAGAAATCCCTTGAAAGTGCGTTATCTACTCCACCAAATGAAACCGCCAGGCAACTGATTGATTCAGAACAATCAAATCTTTCCAATACTTCAAAAAGAAAATCCATCCTTATACGAAATCTCCCCATCACATCTACCACTACTTCTAGACGAAGCGAATCCAAGTTTGATGATATGATCTTTGCAATTTGTTTGGTTGATTTCCATCATCAACGAGGGCCGGAGATTCAATGGTGGAAATCAAACTATCATCCTGAATACCAACCAGATTTATTCAAGAATATACCGTTTCAGGCTCTTCCTGATGGTTCTCATTTATTTGAAGAAACATTTTCAAATTTTAATTTGGTGTATGATTTCGATCAGAAGAAATCGGTTGATGATTTCAAAGATGTAAATGATTTCAAAGGTGATCCACGACACTTGAAAACATTATTTGGGTGCTCGTGTGTAAGACAGGTTAAAACAAGTGACTTATCTGAAGAAGAAAGAGAAAGAAATAAAGATATCACAAGATCAATTGTGCAGAAAGCAATTGTCGTTATTGTTCGAAAACAACCGATATTTACTAAAATTAAAGATAAGTTATCCATAATTACCAAGAGTTACTTTCAACAGGAAACTTTTTCCAATTTTGAATTGTTGGAAAATTTATTTGATAATTTGAATGGCCAATTTAAATTGATTGACAATGAAATGCATACGGAATTAGAACAGGAAGAAGAAAATTATGTCAATTTGAATTTGAAATCAACTTTAACCAAGTTCAGACTGAGATTCATGATTATTTTCAAGAGTTTGCTATTGGAGAAAAAGGTTCTTATTTACTCAAATAACAACCTTGAAGCACTCACGCAGTTTCAAAACAACTTGATTTCATTGATGCCTAATCTTATAAACAATCTTGATGACTCGGGGTGCCCATTGATTGATTATGCTGAGACCAACGGTCCACTATCCAAGCCACAATCGTTAAACACTACTAGTCGTGCTTCGATGTTGAGATTCTTTGGGTTACCTTTACAGATATTCAATACCAAGAACTCATTTTGGAATCCTTATTTGCCATTACAACAACTTGATGAGTTGTCTGTGCAAGGATTTATGGTTGGTTGTTCCAACCTTTTATTTGTTAACCAAGCGAGTATGTTTGGTGTTGATTTGTTGATCAATTTGGATACAAATGAAGTGACATATCCTAAGGATGTATATACTCCAGAGGAACTTCATTTGAGTAGTATGGATAAGAAATTTATCAATCATTTAATTAATTCCGATGCCAACAATACGAAACATGATGATTATATGGGAAGCGATGATTTCATACGATACCAGTTTGAAGATTATTTGAACTCGTTGATATCAACCATGCGTTACAACCAGTATTCTGAAAGATTTGGTCAACCACCACCAGGATTTAACGAAGCGAGTCATGTCAATGATTTCAACCCAAAGTTTATTGAATCATGGAGAAAAACACAAAATTTCAAGATTTGGAATACAATAGCTGATGAGTTTATTTTTAATTTTATAGAGCCTAAACATGTTGCTGCTGATATTAAAAATGAACCTTATTCTATTAACAAGAACATTTCTAATTTCTTCAATAGTTTCAAGAGTAAGAATACAACTACAAATGTTGGCAATGGACCTGATACCATTAAAGTTCATAAATTCATTGAAGAAGAAGAGCCACCCACAAGAAATGTTGATGAAAATAGTAGTAATAATGACAATCATGATGGAAATGTGGATGAATTGGTTGCTGGGTTTGAGAAAGTTGGACCAACCGAAGATAAACTGGCTAGTAATGGTAATAAGAGAGTCTCTAGTTGGACAGCAGGATGGGTCTTTGGTGCAAAGAAATAGAATTCTTTACATAGATACAGTATTAACTGTAATACATCATCATCTCTTACAACAACCACTACCACTGTTATCATCTACATGAAAGATGCGAAATTATGTTTAAGCAAACAAAAAAAAAATCTATATCGAGAAAATTTTCAAACATTTACGATGAGCTTTTTTTTTTCATTCACCATCATCAACAATGAAACATCCATATCAAATCCTAACATCTGATAAAGAAGGGAAACATCTCTTTGCCGTAGTTAAAAATTATTTACAAGTTTTTAACATTTCAAATGGCGAAAAAATTGGTGAATGGAAAGATACAACAGAAACAAATTATCAAAATGTTCAAATTGAAAAACGTACAGGTAGACAAATTATAACACAACAAATTTTCAATCATATTAAATATTTAAAACTTAGTAAAGATGAAAAACATATAATTGCATCTACTGATTCTGATAAATCTATATTAATTTTCCGTATCAATTATGAATCAACAAATTGTTTAGAATTAATTAAACGACAACCAATTCCTAAAAGACCATATTCATTAGATGAAGATAATGAAGGAAATGTTGTTGTTGGAGATAAATTTGGTGATGTTTATGTTGCTTTCTATTGATTCAAATAAAACCAATTGAAGAAAAAGAATTAGTTCCAATATTAGGTCATGTTTCAATGTTAACTGATGTTTTAATTGGTAAATATAATAATAAAGAATTTATTATTTCAACTGATCGTGATGAACATATTAGAATTTCAAATTATCCTAAAAGTTATGTTATTAAAGATTTTTTATTTGGACACGATGAATTTATTTCACAATTATATATTCCTGAATATAATTCAGAGATTTTAATATCTGGAGGTGGTGATGATTATTTAAATGTTTGGAAATGGTATAATGGTGAATTAATTACAAATATTCAATTAAGAAATTTAATTCAAGATTATTTAATTAAAGATCTGCATTTACCTCCAACTAGATTTAGACATGATGATTCATCTAAAGAAATTTCAATTTCAAGAATAACTACTTTAAAAAATAATAATGATCATTTATTATTAATATTAGTTGAAAATACTCCTTGTATTTTAGTATTTGATATTTTGGATGATTTTACTAAATTTGAATATAGACAAACTATTTTAACTAATGGTTCAATTGTTGATTTTACCCTTGCTAATGAAACTATTATAACTTCTATTGAATCTGAAAATGAATCACTTGAATTTTTTAATTTGAAAAATGGTAAATTTGAACAAATTGATTCCTTGAAAATTTCAGATTCTATTCCTTTTGAAATCAAAGATGAATCTGAATATCAACATTTATATAAATATTATCAATTGCGTAAAAGAAGTGATTGTCCAGAAGCTCCATCAAAATAAATAAATCAAAAACTTGTTATTCTTTTTTTTTCGAGTTCTTATATATATATATATATATATACCTGTATAAGTAAATAAAAATAATTTTGAGATTATTGTAAACTATTGGGTTTCTACGTTACTTTCAACATCAGTAACATCTTCATCAATGAATCCACCTTGTTTACATAATGAATAAAACAATGACTTTTTATTTTTCAATAAATTTGAAGGAGTATCAAATTCAGCAATTTCTCCCTTTTCCAATACCAATATTCTATCAGAATCCAAAATTGTGTTTAATCTATGAGCAATGGTAATAATTGTTTTATCTTTAAATTCAGATCGAATAGTTTGTTGTAATATCTTATCAGTTTCAACATCAACAGCAGCGGTTGCTTCATCTAATACTAAAATCTTGGAATAATTCAATTTTAACAATACTCTTCCCAAACACATCAATTGTCTTTGACCAATTGATAAATTCGATCCACCTTCACTAACAGTGGCCAATAATGGATTTGATACATCTTCTTTATCTTTACTTTCTTCACTCATTTTAATAACATGTTCTTTCAAGTGTGCCAATTCTAATGCTCTCCAAATTTGATCATCAGTAAATTCATCAATAGGATCCAAATTAGATCTAATTGTTCCTTGGAAAACTTGTGAATCTTGTGGGATAATGGATAATCTATGTCTAAGATCATATAATCCAATTTCATTAGTACCAACACCATCAATAGAAATATTACCATCAAATGCCTCAATAATTCTAAACAAAGCTAATGTTATTGATGATTTACCAGCACCAGTTCTACCAACAATACCAATTTTTTCTTGTGGCTTAATATCCAAGTTTATGTTTCTCAATACCAAATCCAATTCTGGTCTATATTTGGTGGAGTAATCATTAAATTTGATTTCTCCGTTACTAGGCCAATCTTGTGGTGGCCTGTGATCTGGAATAATATCTGGTGCTTCAGAAGTTAAAGTGGAATATTCAAGACATCTTTCAACACTAACAATATTAGTTTCAACTTCGACACTCATACGGATAATCCAATTTAAGGATTGGGTGATTTGTAATGCATAAGATACAGATAAACCAACAATACCAGCACTCAAATGTCCAGATTTCAATGTCAAGATAGATAAACCAGCAGCACCTAAAATAATAATAGATCCCAAGAATTCCAATCTAACAGCTAACCATCTATTAGAATTAATGGTTGGATTATAAGCACGCATATTTTTATCAACTCTTGCTTGGTTCAAATGTTTGAAACGTTCTTCTTTACCATAGGCTCTAATGGTAGCAACACCAATTAAAGATTCTTGGAAATTAGCAAAAATTGGTGATCTGGAGACTGAATCCAATCTTTTCAATTCTCTTGAAGTTCTCAAATAGTATTGTTGATAGTAAAAGTAAAGGAAAGCCAATGGGAAAATTAAGAAAACAAATTGCCAAGTTGAAAAACTAATAACAACAATGGTAAGGAAAACTTTAATGGAATTACTGAAAAACATATTGAAAACACGTCCAATAATTTCATCAACTTTATAGATATCATTAGAAAATCTGTTTAAAATTCTACCAATTGGAGTGGTTTCAAAGAAAGTCATTGGGGCTCTCAATACACTATCTGCCATATCTTGATGAATCTTTTTGGATCCATGAATAGAACAGAAAATCCACAAGTAAACATTTTGAATCAATGAGGACAGGGAATAACCAATACCCAATAAGAAATAAATACCAAGATATTTCCCAACATTTGGATTGTATCCATATTTACTATTGATATCTGACCAGTGTTGTAACCAGAATGTAGAAGCAACATTAATCAAATATGATCCAATAGCGAAACCCAAAAATATAACAACATTGATTGGTCCACAAGCTTTAGCATATTCAAGATAAATTTCCCATTTGACCTTACCTTGTTCAAGATGTTCTTTTCTAGCCTTGGCATCAGCGTCTTCTTCTTCTTCCTGTTCATTCTCACCAGCACGTTCTTCTTCGTCAAGGGACACTTCAGATGCTCTACGAAGACTGACAACTTCTTCTAAATCACATTCAGAATCCAAATCTTCCAAATTAACGACATCTTTAACTTCACTTTCATTGTCATTATCACCATCCTTTAGTTCAATTTGTTTAGAAGGAGTTGGGGAATTTTCTCTTTTTTTACCAAAAGATTCAATCAATTGACGAATCTTACTATTATCTTGTTTCATGATGTCATCATAGGTTCCTTGTTCTACTAATCTTCCATCACTAACCAAATTCAAACTATCAGCAATACTTAAAACTTTGATATTGTTGGTGGCCAAGATTCTACACTTGGATTTAAGTAAACCATTTGGACCAAGAACGTGATCAGTCAAGTGGGTAGAAACATGTTCATCAACAGCTGATAATGGATCATCTAAAAGATAAACATCAGCTCTTGCATAAACAGCTCTTGCTAATGACAAACGAGCCTTTTGACCACCAGAAAGTGAAATCCCCTTTTCACCAACTTCGGTTTTATCACCTTTTGGTAAAATACTCAAATCAACAGTCAAAGCACAAGCTTTCAAAACAATATCATAGAAATGGGCATCATATTTGTGACCAAATAAGATATTATCCTTAACAGTACCATTAATAATCCATGGAACTTGAGAAACATAAGCAACTTTACCATGTAATGTAACCTCACCATCAAGTTTATACAAATCACCCAACATTGCTTGAATGATGGATGACTTACCTGAACCAACTTTACCAATAATACATTCCAAGTGACCTTTCTTAGCAGACAAGTTTATATTAGAAAGAGCAACTTTGTAGTTTTGTTCACCTTTGACTTTAGACCATAAAAATGTACCATTTTTAATAGAAGCAGCCTCGTCACCAATTTTTTGTGGCGTTGGTGCTTTAATAACAGCGTCGGATTGTAATTCAGATCCAGTTAAAAATTTAGTCAAT